AAATACTTAAAATATAAGAAACATTTAATTCACTACATAATTACTATAAGCCATTTGTCAACTTAAAGCTCATCAAGTGAGCTTTCATTTAACATTACAAATTTCTGTTATTGACACTGTTAACAGTCGGCTTTCATTTGAAATCGCGTTAAGTTATGTTAACTGAGTGCAACTATCGTGCAGACAATATTTTAAATGACAAATGGCTTTAGATAAAATTAAATAATGTAATTATGTTAATTTAAGCAACAATTTGCAGTTGAATAAGTTTTCCTAATTTGATTTCCAATCATGTTTCATACCACGGTATCTGCGCATGCGCGATCCTTTGTGCCCGGAATCGCTAGACCAAGTCAGCTGCTGCTGCTGCTGCCATGGCTGCTCTGTCTAGTTTATTATCATCGCTGAGCAAAGGAGGTGAATTCGCAACTAGTTGCCTGCGTAGTAGTTTTTCTATGCAAATGAAATGCATTCAAAGTGAGCAGAAGAATTCATGAAAATATTTAAAGTCATTTTATAAACGCTATAAATACCTAAACATTAAGCGGTAATTAATTGAGTTTGATTGAACTGTGAACGTTCTGGCCAAAACACACACACCTGTTGAGCTGCTCAGATTTGCTTTGTTCGTGCATGAAACTGCAGCTCTGTGAAAAATCAATAAGTTTTCCAACATATGCCACTCACTGATAGTCGGCTGATAAGAGTAATTGGACACGAAATGATGGCATTTCGCATTAATCATTCGCCGCGTGTGCCACGCAACGAACTCTACTTTTATTACAGAACAGACAGAATGGCGCACTAAGCGAGACGACCCTGAACTTTGAACTGGCAGTGAACTTGCACGGAAGTCGATACAAGAGCAACAACAACAATAGGCAACAACATGGCTAGCAAAGGTCGCAGTCGGAAGGTAAGAAAAACGAAAAAAACGGGAGCTAAACTAAGGGCGCTAGATGTGTTTTATGACATTTCTTTTATGTGTTTATTATTTATTATAATTTTTACTTTTCTTTTAATATTAAAAAATATTTTTTTAAAAAGGAGATATTTTTTGAATTAACGTTTTCTGCACAAATGCTAGCAATGCCTGCTGCTTGGGGTAGCCCGCCTCGATCCATTTTAATAGTTGGTGTTTACGAGCTCAATCTTTGCGGTACTTCGGCACCTGCTTTCATATTCCTCTAAGTCATTGCAGTGAAATCATTCGCTAGAATGATTTCAAAATATTTCCCTTTTCTATCCCCTGGCTCCCTCCAGTAAGTCTTATTCTACGCCCAAAACGCTGCTTGGCAATGGCTTCTGGTCCATGAACTGGCGTCAGCTCATTGACACCAAGGCCTATAGACCTATTTACCTTGAACATAGCTTGCTTGTATTCCCTACAACACACGCGACTCCTATAAATGACAAAGTCCTGCTTGACACGACAACCCCGGCGAACTGCCTTGACCGGACGGCTGGACAGACCGATGAAATGATGAAATGAAATAGTGCAGGACGTCGCTTTGCTTCATTCTATAGAATTCCTGAATGCAGAGATGTAAAATGAACCATGTCGAACAGTTTTTCGAGAATTCGCATAGTTTTCGCAAAATTCAGTTAAGGCTTTAGACACACGACTTAGACGCTTGTTATATTCCAAGTAGAGATTGATAGAGATTGACAGTAGAGTCCCGATAATACGAAATAGCAATGGGGTAAGTTTTGTTCGTTATACACAGAAATTCAAATTAGCTAAATTAAGTATAAAAGATGTTGCCATTAAAACAGATTGCAAATAGAACATAAATTGAATATTTTATTTGACAATTGCAGTCAAGATTTTAGAGCGTAAATAAACGTATAACAAGGCTACTTTATTGGCATTTTAGGTATGCGGTATTTGGGTATACGAAAGAAACCTATATAATTATGACATTTAGAATTTCTGTTCCCCACTTTCAAGAGAGTTTCAGTCCCAATGCCAGCGTCATATATTTGTCCTAGGGCAAACTAACTAATTCAAAAAATGGAGTTAGCATCTAAAAGGTGGATAGTGAAATACATTGGGATTCGCATCAGTTAGCTGACTAGGCGTCTAGGTACTGCAGCTCAAAGATCTGTTGGTACTAAGAGAAGGTTGGAACATAAGCAAACTCAGAAGCTAAACGATCGAGTCCTGACTTAAAATTGATAAAACAATCTCTTCAACTTTATCCTTATAACAATATAATAAACATAGATTTATTTCCCATTCCTTCACCAGTTCAAGTCTCCCTCAACGATTGTCCTGAAAAGGGTTTACCACACTTTTTATAGGAGTTTTAATACATTAAAAAAGAAAAAACAAAGTTCTATTTAATATTTATGCCTAGTTTGGAGTTGATTGAACGTCCTTCGCTGGCCAATGGAATGAAACTACTCCAAGCGCATTTGCCTAATGGTCCGTTGGCTGAGGCGCTTGGGGTTGCGCTCGCTCAATTAAATCGATTCGATGGGATTGTGCGGGCGTCCCGGGGCAATTAGCATGCAAGGCACAGACGTACTTTGTTTGTTTTCGTTTTTTTTTTTCGTGTTTTTTTTTTTTTTTTTTTTTTTTTTTTTTTTTTTTTTTTTTTTTATTCGTTTTAGCTTTTATTGAATTTGCGTGTCGTGCGACGCCAAGGTGGTTTAGCTGTGCCGTGTGGGGCCAGTTGCTAGAGCGCAGCACTCAAGCTCGTTTCATTCGCAGTTGAATCAGCGCAGCGCGCAGCTCGATACGGAGGCCAGTGCAGCGCTGCTGAAGTCATCGCCGAACATCTTGGAGAACTTTGCCTACGACGAGTTCCAGGTGCCGGCACACACTCAACTGAAACGGATGGCCACGCTGCCGGGTCAGGTGGCGAGGCCGGCGTCGCCGCGCTTCTGCGAGACGCTGGAGCGTCATGCGTTCATGCGGAATGTGATTAATACGCGGCCGGAGCCGCAGCGTCGCTACTCCACTCCTGGCGAGAAGGAGGCGAATGTGCGACGCAGCCTGGAGGAGATCACCAAAGATATCAAGGAGATCGAGCAGTTTGTCAGCGCCACGGAGCAGCTGATGCAGCGCGAAAAGGAGCAGGAGCTGGCCAGCAGCCAGCGCAGGCGCGACAAGGAGAACAAGACGCCCAGTCCGGCCAAGCGCATTTGCTTCAAGATCAACGCCTACAAGGCCCCCCAGCGCCGTCAGCGTCCGCATAGTCCGCGGTTCTATAAGTCGCGCCTTTATTTTCGCAACGGACGCATCGGCTGTGTGGATGCCGAGCGTTCGGGCCAGATCAACAACATCGAGAGCACCCATGCGCTGGTCAAGCACATACTGAAGCACGAGAAGCCGCTGGTGAGTCCGGACAGCGTGCGGCGAGTGCTGCAGCCGCAGTACGTGGAGCTGACGCCGCTGCCGGGCGCCGTGGACGAACCGGATCCGGTGGTTGCTCAGCGGGAGGCAGAGCTGCGCAGTGCCACGGGTCAGGTGCTGCTCGATCCGCCGGCGGAGCCAGATCAGTGTGACAGCAGCTCGCAGCCCATCGAGGAGGATGAGGATGAGGATGAGAAGGATGTGCAGATCTGTTACAATGAGTCGCCGGAGCAGCAGAACAACGATCGCAATATGCGAACGACGCGCTCCTCCTCGCTCAACGAGAGCGAAATCGTTGCCGTTGTCGAGGAGCCACATCGCCCCAGCAGTGCTGGCAGCCTCGACTCCCAAGGCCAGCAGTTTCTGCGCGATCAGGTGCGGCACTTGGTGCGCCGCTTCACGGCGCGCGCCAACAAGGTGAAGTCGCGCATCGAGCTGCCGCCAACGCCCTCGTCCAGCAGCGCCAGCTCACCCACACCGCCGCCGACGCAGGCAGCGCTGCACGCGAGCACCAAGAGCTTGCATCCCTCGCCCGAGCACAAGGTGCGCCTGGTGCCCGCCGGCCAATCGCCGCACCGCGGGCGTCTCTTCGAGGCGGACACGCCGCGCTCCAACGTCTGGCTCTGCTCGAGCCTGTGCGGCGCCAACAACGATGAGCGCACCCTGGATCCGCAGGGCAAGATCTACATCTCGTGGCTCTGCGTGGTCTCCTTGTCGTTCCTCTACAATGCCTGGGTCATACCGCTGCGCGCCTCCTTTCCCTTCCAGACCAAGGCGAACACAAACATTTGGCTCGCCTGCGATTTCTGTGCGGACATTATTTACCTACTGGACGTGGTCTTCTTCAAGCATCGCGTGATGTACCTCTTCGAGGGCTTCTGGGTCAAGAACAAGAATCTAACGCGCAAGAACTATATGAGGAAGCTCCAGTTTAAGGTGGGTAAAGCGGGACTATCATTGCAAATAGGAAATCAGATTATAATATGCGTAGAGGCTTGGCGGAACTGATTCAATGAACTGAGTTCGTTCGTCTGTCAGTTCACATATTTCAACGCTTCGTTCTCAAGACCCTTAAGAGCTAAAGACTTGAAATTTGTTTCCTAGTTCTCCTATATGATAGGCTATAACTAAGTAAAATATTCACTCACTTGACTAATCTTTACAGCTGGATCTGCTCGCCTTGCTGCCGCTGGAGCTCTTCTATCTGAAATATGGCACTGGCGCCGTTTGGTTGCGCTTTCCGCGTTTCTTCAAGATCCAAAGTTTTTGGGAGGTTTTTCGACTCCTAGATCGGGTCATTTCCTCGCCACATTTCGTAAGTTGTTACGATTTACCCTTGAGTAAACATATCAAATATAATAGCTCTGCCCTTGCAGGTGCGCGTGGCCAAGACGCTAACCTATATGCTCTATATGATCCACATTACGGCCGCTCTGTACTATGCCTATAGCGACTATCAGGGCCTGGGCCAGAATCGTTGGGTATTCAGCGGCAAGGGTCATCCCTATGTGAGATGCTTTGCCTTTGCCACCAAGACGGCGACGTCGATTGGCAAGAATCCGAAGCCGGAACGCCAGGGCGAATATGTTTTCATGACGGTCGCCTGGCTAATGGGCGTCTTTGTGTTCGCCCTGCTCATTGGCCAGATCAGGGATATCATTTCGACGGCGACACGCAACAAGCACGAGTATCGTCAGCTGGAGGATGAGACGCTTGAGTATATGAGACGTCTGAATCTCTCCAAGGAGGTGCAGTCACGTGTCAAAATGTGGTTTCAATTCACCTGGGAGCAGCAGCGCACGCTGGGTGAGACCTAGAAATGTTTTTATTCGTAATCATTATAGCTTCAACTTATCCAATTTCATCTTAGACGAGTCCAATATCTTGGATGCTCTGCCCATCAATCTGAAGACGGACATTGCCATCTCGGTGCACATACAAACCTTGTCGAAGGTTCAGCTCTTTGCTGACTGTGAGGAGGCGCTGCTTAGGGATTTGGTGCTGAAGCTGCGTGCCGTTACCTTCCTGCCGGGCGATTTTGTGTGCCGCAAGGGTGAGGTGGGTCGCGAGATGTACATTGTGAAGCTGGGACAGGTCCAGGTCATGGGCGGCCCCAGCAGCGATGTTGTCCTGGCCACCCTCACCGAGGGCTCCGTCTTCGGCGAGATCAGTCTGCTGGGCATTAATGGCGCCGATCGTCGCACAGCCGATGTGCGCTCCAAGGGCTACTCCAATCTGTTTGTGCTGTCCAAGTCGGACCTGAACGAGGTCATCGCCTACTATCCCAATGCCCAGGCGATCCTCAAGAAGCGCGCCCGTCAGCTAATGCGCAAGAACGCGGCCCGCGAGCGTGAGGAAGAGGAGCGCGAGCGCGCCCGTAGCGCTCTGCAGGCAGACGTTGTCATTGGCAACCCGAAGACACCAGAGACGCCTCCGAAACTCCTGCAAACTGTCATCCAGGCGCTGCCCTACGAATCGCCCGCTGTCGTCCTCATTACACGCGGCTCGAAGCGGGTGCGCCGCAAGCGCCAATCCCTGCAAATGGAGACGATCGTCGAGCCAACCATGGACGTGGCCGGCTGTGCCGAGGCCGCGCAGCAGGCGGGCAACCCCTATCGGGATAGCCTAATCTTGAAGCCGGGCCGCGGCTCACCAGATCTACTCTCGTCCATACAGCAGGAGCTCAAGTCTAAGCATAAATTCATAAATCTAACCGATTCGGAGAAGGCGCTGATCATCACGCAGTCGGCGAACAACTCGATGGAGTGCGTGCAGGAAGATCTTTAGTCATCGCAACCATTCAGTGTGCTATAAATGTATTAATTCTGCGATATATATGTTTCCCAATATGCTTTACGAATCCCAAATTGTCAAACAATGTTGCTTAATAATTTAAAATAAAAGTTAGCTTTAAATTATAGTCGAAAATTAATTTTTTATACCCTGAACCCATTTTCAATGGGAAATCAGGGTATAATGGTTTTGTTAAAAGTATGTAACAGGCAGAAGGAGGCGTGGCAGACCCCACAAAGTATATATATTCTTGATCAGGGCGACGAGCTGAGTCGATTTGGCCCTGTCCGTCTGTCTGTCCGTCCGTCCGTCCGTCCGTCCGTATGTATGAACGCGTCGATTTCAGAAGATATAAGAGCTAGAGACTTCAAATTTTTTTTAAAATGTCCGTAATTACAGCGCGCATATCAAGTTTATCATTAAAAATCGATAACTCATCCCGATCTTTTTTTATCGATAAAAAACCTTATCGAAAACCAGTTATAAAATTATATCTTCTACACCTTTATTGCTAGAGTCTCCAAATTTTTAATGTATGCTTATATGCAATTTATACAATTTCGGTTTTTGTTAAAATTTACCCCCCACCCTTAAATTCACCCCCTCACCCTCACTTTTGTAAAAAGCGTATTTCAAATACTAGAGACTTGTGCTTTGGCAATTACATGCATATCCATGTTATAATCATAATCTGAAAGTTTCATGAAGATCGTACGTCCANATTATATATTAAATAAACAATTTTTAAAAGCTTAAAAATACCCTGGATTTTTTTTTATAACCAAGTGTTAAAACAATTTTCAAAAGGCAAAGAAAAATTGTTCATAAATAATAAGTAAACATTTTTCACAAGACAAACAAAAGTAATTCATAAAAAAAACTATAGTAAGAGAACAGCGGGTAATTACTTCTGGAGCACCCTATATATTTTGTTAATTACTTTTTTTTCATTATTTAACATTTTAAATTAATAATGAAAACCCACAATTAGAGAATTAGAGCAATAGAACATAGGTGGATTACTTCTGCAACACCCTGTATTTTTGGTGGTATTTTCTTAAATCAAAGTAGACTGGAAATTCCTGCTGAATCCAGGCTGAATGTCTTTTAGAAAATTTGACTGGTAGTTCAGTCGCATGTAAACAAGTGACAAGTCAATAAATATACAAAAAATTGTTTTTTCCCAACTTTTCTAAAAAAAAACATTTGCATTTGCATTCATATTAACGTTATTTCGATTCAATTCTTTTGCTATTCAACTTAGTTAAGGAGGCAGCTGAATTATGCGTTACTATATACGGATTCGCATTTGGCTATGCTCCCAGTTGCTGAAGATGAGATGTGCGTACGGACTGCTTCGTCCACAGAAGACTTGCGATGAGAACTCCCCTGTCATCTTCCGGATTAGAATTCGCGGAAGCCGCACGAATCTAGTGCCGGACGATGATGGTGTTGATGGGAAATCTTTGAACAGCCCTGGGAGCAATCGGCATCATATTCCAATACTACAGGCCATCATTGAGGACCGTATTGGCCGTCGAATGGCCGATTTACGTCTGCTCAATGCGCAGTGGGTCGTAGGGGAGGACAACCTCCGATATTATGAACTTATTTTAATGGATCTCAATATGTACCGTACAGACTCCTAGAAGAACTGAACATGTAGTCCACAATAATTACAACGAAGAATCCAGTCTGATAATAAAAATTGCAAACAGGCTAAGTCTATGATATGGCCATATAGAGAGTGTTTAGTTTTTGATTTACTTGACTTTATTACATTAGAATAACCACATTGGTTGATTTCTTATTTCACATTACAATTCAGTGCATTTCTAAATGTTAGAAATCATCCGTTCTGAGAATACTAGTCGACTATGTAGCGCCGGGGCATTACTGTCTAATGTCCTTGTAGTGCTGCTTTGTGTCGCTGTTGTCCAGCTTGATCGAGTACTGGCCGATGAGGGAGCCGGCGACATCGGCTTGTCCCTCCGGATTGAATTGAGGACCATCGCCAATCACTTCCATATCCTCCTTCACCACACGATATCCATTCTCATCGGCCTCATAGTGCACCGTCCGCCTCACGAAACCATCGCTGTAGCTGTACTTTCCAGTCACCTTTTTACCATCGCGTGTCTCCTCACGATCCATTGAGCCATCGTTAATGTCATCGTTGATCGTTGAACTGAACGAATATTGCGCATTCTCGTTCTGCTGTCTCTCGAGCTCCAATTCTTCATCGGTCAACTGGAAGAGAGCACAGAATAGAGTTTTAGATAAGCAACTAAAGCATGTGAAGTCATTGCAATTCCTACGAATTGCCTATTATCATCTACTTGTCTATTTAGCTTCACATTTATTACATCGTTAATATTCGCTGTTGCCGATAACACTTCACATTTTTTTTTTCAATCAGAGTTCTGTGAGTCAGTGTTGATACAAACAAAACCTTCTAGTGAGGGTTTCTCCGACTGTGAAATGTTGTTTGAGTGCAGTTCGCTACAGATTCTCATATCTGATATTTGCATATATTTACTTGCTTAACTTAACACACTGATTGATTTATTAACAATTTTATGGCTGTCTCTGGCTGACAGCCAATGTCAGCAATTGGTTTTTGTTTATCGTTTCTCTGGAAATTTCAGAAATTTGCAATAATTTGTTTTTCTCTTGTTTCTTGTTTACTTTTTTTTGTAAGGTTGACTTGCCAAGTGAATACACTTTTTGCTATTTCCATATATCTTATGTGGTTCAGCAGAGATCGCTTGAATGCCTGAGCGGAAATGTTAATTAAAGTTTCTTTTCAAAGCTGTTCAGTTAAGATCGGTTTATAAAGTCTTGCAAATGAGCTACAGTAAACTGAAGCTGACTAAAAATATAGAAGACTAAAATAATATTGAAATTATTATAAATAAAAGAAAAATATATTAAATATTTTATTTATATGG